TGCATTAGAGGGTTAACTATCTGTGAATTGAATCACTTTCAAGTTTCCGATTTAAGCAGTCTGTCAATATATTTCCACATGGGATGATAAAATCTTTTGAATACTTCGGCTGGAAATCCAAAATAAAGAATATGTTCTCTATGCTCTAAGTTGATTGTTAATAGATCTAAAAAATTACTACTTTGAATATCCACAGGAAATCGTCCCTGCATTTATTTCTAATACTTGTGCAAAAACGAAACCATCCCCCCCCCCGAAAGAAATTCCTAGTTACGCCGCTGGAGGTACCCGTAAATCGACTCCGATTGGATTCAAACTTTTTGGGATTTCATTTTTTGGGAGAAAAATAAGATTCTGAAAGTTTAAAGTCAATCGGAATCGATTTACGGGTACCTCCCATACAAATTTTTGGAAATTTTGACTAAAATTACCGATTTTTGGCCAATTTTGTATGGGAGGTACCCGTTAATCGATTCTGATTGGCTTCAAACTTTCTGAGGTTTCATTTTTTGGAGAAAAAATAAGATTCTGAAAGTTTCATCTTGATCGCATTTGCAGAAGTTTGATTTTTTGTCCTCAATTTTTGTCGAAATTTTTTTGGAAAAAATTGAGGGTCAAAAACCAATTTTAAAAAATTCACAAAAAATAACCAAAAGTACCGACGGACAACGCAGGCCAACGGTACGGAAAAGTTCGGGATTACCAATGTAATTCTTTTTATACTTTGAATAGGATTTAAGAACGCGTTTTAACATTGTTTCCACATGTTTTTCGCGAAGCCATTTAAAAAACACCAAAAACTTTTTCATCATTTTTACGGTGATAATTTCATTAGATTAACATAACCCCATTTTTCAATCGTTCTTTTCTGCGGTGTTTTCAACTGCAAAAGTGAAATACTATAGAATTTTTTTTTCAATCTTATTTATTTATTTATTACGAAGCCTACATTTATGCCAATATGTGTTCACGGCAAGCTGAGAACATGCTGGTCAGAGACCCAATACGGTATAAATTCCGCCCATGGTGCGTCTTTTGGAAAGAGAGTACAGCCAGGTGAGGGATGATATAAAAGTGAGGCTTTCATACCAGAATTGGGTCCGGAAAACCATGGCAAAACCGGTCTGATTCTGGTGAACCAGGCGAAATACAATGTTGAATTTTTGCAATTAAAGTACGTTAACAATAATGGGAAAAAAATCAAATGAAAAATCACAAACTAAATCTAGATTCAACTGATTGGATAAGAAATTTCATAACAATGATCTGAGAATGCGCGGTTTGAAAAATGTAGAAAAATTTGCTTTTAAACGTGACTAGAGATTTAGAACTTCTAATTTCAACCGGTATGCTATTCCAAAAGTTGATTGCAGGGAAACTAAATGCGCGAGTATCAAATGCAGTACGCGGATCGAAATCTTCGTCCATGGGATTGTTATGTGCGCAAGAACAAATTTTTACCAAAATAATTATTGATTCAACAGATTAGACACATCTTTGACATTCTGAACTAATAATTTCAATTGTTCTCAAGTTATTTTCTAGAAAACCGCGGCTAATCTTGCATTTTGACCATTTTGTCGTTAAAAAAAGCCAAAATTATATAATCAGCTTTAGAGAAAAGTGGTGCAATAAGGTTTATAAAGATATTATCTAGAAGGCTTGTTATATATTTTTCCTGTAAATATCGTGCTTTTTTAAATATCGTGAATATGGTGTTTGAAATGTTAAAATAAACGCTCGAAGAGCTCAATACAGGCTCAAAGAAAAAAAGAAAAGTTTTATTGTATACTGTAATTCTCAGATCATTTTCTAACGTGAATCTAAAACTAAAATTCTTTTTACTGTTTACTTAACAGTTTCAACTGCTTCAGCATATCGCCCACACTCATAAGTTTTGCATATTTTTCAGCATAGCAAAGATTGAATAAGCTGTTTTTTTAAATCTAAAGTACAAACGAAATGAAAAGGAATATATTTTGAAATACGTTCTTGAAATGCTCTAGAATATGCAAAGAGAAAAAAAAGAATTATAATGCAGTTAATTAGTTCACCTTAAGTAGAGTGGTTAGATCAAGCATAAATACTTTGGCGGCGTAGATGGAGATCGATTTAGAAGTTCTTTCGACTAAAATTTGCATCCAACGTTTGTATTTGGTAGAGGCTGGTAATTCCATTTAAATATGTCGTACGATAGTTGTCTACTTTTTATGAATACGTCCGAACCAAAGTAGGGTGGGACAAAGATTTCGTTGAACATTGAAAACGAATAAAGAACAGCAAAGAGAAATTCGTATGTATCGTCCGTTGGACTGACCTAATGAAACCGAATGAAACCGGTGTTGTAGTAAAAAAGATCGTGAGTGAAATAGAAAGTGAAAACTTGATACTGCTAACATGACCAACATTAATTACCACAGTCATCTCTCTGGCACAAGTACATAAAACCAAACCGCTGACACCGAATTGAGAGAATAGAGCAAATGATAAAATTTTCTCCAACAACTTGGAATATCTATGAGAAACATATGATCATTTACTGTAAAAGTATCTATTGAATGAATTGCCTCCCAACCTGATGATCAGCAGATATTTCTTGCAAAGTTCGACCAAAAGCTTTCCCTGATGTTGAATGTCCTCAGAGCCGCTTCCCAATGTTTGAAGATGCTGACCTAAGACTTCGATGTGACCGCCAAGAACGTGAAGCAACGATGCGCCGTATGTATCGACAACAATGTCTATGATAACTATAAACAGATTTGCAATCGCTGAAATATTATTCCGCCTATGTAAATGGCATGTTGATGGAGGAACTCGCTCGGGTGAAGGTAAGTTGATGGCTACATTCTTTGCACGGGTTCTGCCCAAATATCTTGAAATACAGCCAAAATTCAACATCCCATGTAAGTATAAGTAAACATCCACAGAATAACGTCTGGGAGTCGGAATTTTTGCCTAAAGTGTCTCTCGTTTTCGTCGGGTGTAACCGTTGCATCCAAGTTTTTCATCAAACGAAGCAATTCCATGAAGGTTCCCTTTTTGCCAAAACATTCAACCCTTTAACAGCAACCCTAACCACCGAACTCGTAACGATCAAGTGATCAACCATTTCGTCAACTGAGCTGATCCAAAGAAAAAACAAAGTATTCGAGAGATCGGATACACGATGATGACGATCAAATTGAACAAAACAACCCAAGTGCTGTACAAGATTGATCCACTTTCTGGCGGTCACATTCCGCACATCTTGAACACTCTTTATACCTGTGGTTTGATTTTGTTTTGCCTCCATTACTTTACTCTTTATACCATTTTAGCACAAGTCGCGAGTCCATTATGAATATGTTGCCAGAAGTAAATATTTATCTCGGCTATAATTCTGTCGTTTAAATTAAAGATAGCTGTGTCTTAGCTACTGCCATGGATTGACTGATGAACGACAGTGTTTGTATACACCCTTTTATAGATCGTAGAATGGATTGGTTCCGGTGCGGAGGATAATTTTCTAGATAATTCCTGCCAATTACCGACATTTTTCAACGATATATCTATGGGTGAGATTGAGAGTGGAGTATGTTTTTTCTTCGATTTATATTTTTGAAAAGGCGAGTATGTTTTCTGATGATTCTGTTGGCGTTAAAGTAGAGTATGTTGTAGTACCGTCTAGCCTCCGCGGTCTTCATAGTTTTCGCGCAACTGATAAAAGATAACAACATGGTGTCTTCGGCAAAGTTGTAGTACTTGAGGTCTTCTATAACTAAGCTGAAGACAATTATCTCTTATCTCTTATCAGTTGCGCGCAAATCGCGCACATAAAAAAGCAAATTTTATATAGAACTTTTTTTTTCTTATCATTTTTCGCGCTTTTCGCGGAACTAATAAGAGATAAGAGATAACTGTCTTCAGTGATGATATAGAAGACCTCAAGTGCTACAACTTTGCCGAAGACGCCAAGTTGTTATCTTTTATCAGTTCCGCGGAAACGTGAAAAACCGCGAGGACCCGCTAAAAACGAACATACTCGCTTTTAACCATTTTTAAGTCGACAGAAACTTGCTCTTCTCTTTCGTAACAAAGTCAATCAAACATACACTACTCTCAATCTCACCCATAGATATATATAGGTCAAAACTCTTCAGCCTGACAATTTTCGCATATGGTCAGGGCTACGGCGCACGGTAACGTTACTAACGTTTTTCACATGCTCATAACTCCGCTATCATAATAGATAACAAGAAAGAGTAAAGGCATAAATTCTAGCTAATTATACTAAAATTCATTTAATACAAGGAACTCTACAGTCTGTGTACTTGTCATGCTAAATATGTGCAAAAGAATAAGAAGGTGTTAAAAAAATGTGTGAAAACTTGCGAATTTTCTAGGTATTTTTCACACGCTTATATCTCTACAAAATCCAAAAAAAAGTTCCATTTTATGATTCGATTATTGTTGCCCCTTACTCGATCTACATTTTTTGTCTTCACTCTTCTGGAAAATCTCTGATAATGGTCATGTTATGAGCTCATTTGTATGTCAGTAACGTTACACCTCCGTGGCCGTGACCATATGGCGAATTCCTTATGTGTAGATTTAGTGCTCCTATAGTGCTCCCAAAATCTATCATCAGATCGAAAATTGATCGATAACAGAAAAAATTACAGCCATCGATTTTTTGGGGGAGCCATATTTTCGATTTTTCAGGGTGGGCTCAAATGCTCTCCATTTTGGGTCAGGGGTTTAGTGCTCCCAAAATAAACTCTCAGATTGAAATTTGCTTGAAAAATGATCGACTTATGGTCATACACTATATTTGAGCAGAAGCAGTTCATCCCCTAAAACGCCAAACACTATAAAATTTTCAAATTTTACGAAAAAAATGTATTCTCGACGGATTCTTTGAATGTTCTCTTTATTCAAATGTAATGAATGTGAAGTAGTTATAAATCGTTCCGAAATTGAAATGTCAATTTTTTATTTAAAAAAAACACAATTGCTTCGAGAGGCTTTGCAGGAAAGGAGTTAAAACATAAGAATGGTTTTCCACTTGAACGAAACAAATGCATGTAAATTACAATCTATTTTCTCGGTTTTTATTGAATGTGAAATCCATTTTCATATTAGCCTATTCTCTTTTATTTTCATTTAATTATCTGTTTATTGGTTCATTTTTTTTTATGTTGAGTTCTTGGAAAACGACAAATTTTTCTCTTTGTTTTTCTCCAGTTATATTAATTTTTACAGTAATTTTAATTTCATATAATAACCACGATACTCGTATTCGCACGGGAAATTGTCGGAAAATCATCAACCTATCGCGGATGAAACCAGTTCGGCCACTTCGGGACTCGTCGATCTTACTGTCAATTGCATCGCTACACCATCGGATAAGGCTAATTTTGCGCGCAGCAATATCTCGTGTCCGCCACGAAAGGTGCCTGCAACGAAAGAGAAAAGAAAAACCAATTCGAAAGGTTGGTCGTTAGTTATTTGTCATCAATTTTATATCGAACAGCGTTTGAATGAAAATAAGTACAGAGAGAAAACGAAACAAAATCGATATCGTTCAAAACGATGCACATTCAATGGGATATCGGTTCGCTTTAGCAGTTGAACGCAAACCGTATTGCATGAAATGGAAGAAAGAAAGGAAAAGAAAGGGCAAAAAAAAGAAGATTGCATTGGAATGTTGTTTTCTGTCGCAACGCATATGTTCAGACATTGTCGACGGATGGAACATTACTGTTATCTCTATCAAATGTGCGAAATAAACACATACACCACATCGTTGATGAAACACACACATTCGATTCGTATTGAATTTCATTTATTTTTGGACGGTGTGTGCAAATAGTAAAAAGGAAGAGACAGAAGCGTAATTGATGTTTTGAAAAATGAGCGATGAGTTCAAAAGAAATCACAACAATTGGAATATACGGCCAAGTATCATATTTCGAATTGTATGAAACCAGACACTTCTTTTTACGTTTGTTTCGAGCAAAATTAGAAAAATCCAATATAAACCCGACAATGGCATTTTTAAATCATCAATAGAAATTGCGATATTGTTGTTCCGCATAGATGACGCAAACGATAAGCATCCATGAGATACTGTTCCATTCAATGATGGAGTCGTTTAAGAAATGCTTTCTTTTTGAATAGCAGCATGCGCATTTAGATAGAGAACTCTTTGAGGTTCACCCATTGCGGGCTTCATTCTGACGCAAAACTCAATTTAAAAGCAATACTCAATCAATTCAAATCGAAGTGAAATTTAATGATGCGACATGAGATGCATGAGAAAGATGAGGAAATGACAATGTGAATGAAATGAATACGATGCTCATAAAGAATTTTCAATCGATCACTTTCCAAATCACATGTCATAAACCGAACAGTAATGAAACGGTACAAATTGCAATACACTTCGAATGTGTCAAAGAAGATCGATTCGCCAGAAATGAATATCTCTCTCTCTCTCTCTCTGCGGTTGAATGGTGCATCGTCTATAATTTTCGCATTGCATTAAAGCTTGCTGGTTACGTGTTCGAATTTGGATTAAATGGAATTAAATGGGCTCTGTAATTATCGTCACCGTCATACATAAATTCACGCTGCATCTCTTGCTTCGTGTGTGAGTGTGTTGTTTCTTCAACGTAACTTCCTCAGCAATCGATTTATTAGCACAATCTGCACTCTCTCTCTCTCTCTCTCCGTCTGCGTGCACTGACGGCGAGTGTGAATGAATGTGGCATTCACGCGTCGTCATCGTTGCCATTCAAAAAAGGTATACCGTACGAAGTGGAGAGCGTTGCAGCTTTACAATGTAATTGGTGATTAGTGTTGTACCGAACGCTCATGGATTTTAAAGCGAGCAATAAATTTCATCCAATATAATATGATGGCAATGCATACATAGCGTGGTCCGGTTTGTATTCGAGCAAAACCATGCACTTGCATTTACGTACGACTTTGGTTTCATTGCAACTAAGTAGAAATTATGTTGTACAAATTAGTCTGTGTCATTGAAAGCTGACAACGATAATTATTTATGTAACATTTTCGATCCCTTTGTTCGGGCTAGTTGGACCATATATATTTATATGCATTGGTTTATCTATTGTACGGTCTAATGCATAAATCCAATAGCACAGTGTGCTGTGATGCATCGATTACATTCCATCGAGATTGGTTGATTAGAGATCGCTAAGCGAAAAATTTGAACCTAATAAATTTTGTTGAATTGTTCAACGTCGAAATTTTCCACGAAACATGAGATAAACGCTTTGTTGGCGCCCGCAATGTTATTTCAAATTGATTTCGATGAGATGCTAATCTCGATGTGTATTGATGTTTGCCGCAAGGCATTTCTCAATTGGATTTTCCGATCAGATTTCGAAGCGCCCGCTGCTTGCCTCCAGGGAAAATGGGCACATTGATGTGTATGTGATGTTTGACGTTCTACAATTAAAATCAATTAGAAATTGGCTGGAATCGATCAAAACTTTATCGGTCAATCTCTAATCATTTCGACTTTCTTTCGACTCTTTTCTCTTCCCATTTCGGTCAATTTGTGCTGGCAATCGATTTGACTTGAAAATAATAGCACTTGATACCGACATATCATGAACACCAGCAACTTGCGTTTAATCACGCAAAGGGCTTTCATTTCAATTTACGATAGAAAAAAGATTTTAAATTACATTCCAAATATAAATCGGTTCATTTTTTCCCTTCACTCTCTGTATCTCTCTCTCTCTCTCTCTCTCTCTCTCTCTCTCTCTCTCGGAATCACGATTGTGACGGTTACAGTGTTACACGTTTCACATCTGCAATGGTATTGTTAATGATCTAATTGCATTAAATGTCAATACCGCAACATAGTAAATGACATCGCATCGCCTTTAGCGGCTCTTATGCCCCTGGTAATGATATTTATTGGTTGCACATCGTCCACAACACGAACGAACGGGCAAAGCACAAAAACAAGAGACGCAACAAACAATGAATGGAATGAACGAAAGAGAATGAGAGAGAGAGAGAGAGAGAGAGAGCAAAACGAAAAACAAGCAAATCACTTTGACACATTCACAGCCGTGTACGAGAGACAACATATGTTGGTTAAGATATCGGCAACTGCACGTCAATGCTGCTCTCAGTTTCTCATGTCGTTGTCGTTTTTTTCCTTCCTCAACACACGCTTGCCTAATATCACTCGCATCATTTACACGAACAAACAAAAAGCGTTTGCAATACGCTTTTTTTTCTTTTCTATCATACATGTAGAAAGTAATGTCTTCTTTCGCTTCGGAATAATAAAACACTAAATAGAAAATTGTGTGCAACATGATACTCAACAAATTGCTATCGAACCCGTTTGATTATATTCTGTCTTCACGTTTGAATATTGTGTGTATATATATGGGTTTTGTGTCTTTTTTGTTGTTGTTTTTGCTTGTTTTGCATTGCTGCTCTCGATATTTATGGTCGCAATCACAGTGGAAAATTTATCGATATTGAACAGTGTGTGTGATTGGCGATAACTTTCGTTACAGTTTATGGCTTCATTATTGTTATTGGCCATTTTGAAATTGCCCACAATAAAGTGAGATTTTGTATGCATATCGATTGACTTTTTATCACGCGTGTTTTGTTTGCTTTTTGCCTCTTTATCAATTGAATGTTTCCGTTTATTTACCGGAACTGAGCAGTGTATGTGTATGAACACCCTGGCCAACTTTCCCAGAGCCCGTGTCAGCGGCAAGGCCAAGGAATTTCAATATTGTGTTGACGGCATCTTGTAGTGTATTTACAGCGGATAATTCATACGTGTCCTCTAATTCGACCCAGGCTGAAAATTTAAAAAAAAAATAGAACTGGAATTAGCTTTCGTTTTTTTTGTAAATTTTTTTCATAAACCTCATCTCAAGAAACCAAACCAGAACAAAAAACAATGAAAAATTCAAAATCCTACCGTCCGTGTCAGCAGCACTCCAAGCATTGGTAAAGTTGCTTTTCGTAACTTTCTGCACTTGATCAGCGACGGAAATTTCCAAATCCTCAAGCATGTATTCATCATCGTATCCCTCGTCCGAATCTGGTTCGCCCGTATTCGGATCACAATCTTTCACAATGAATTTCAGTGTGGCTCCAAATGTGGCGGCTGAATTGCCAACATCATGCGGAAATTCGACAATCACATACGTCGAACCCGTTTCGTTGTACGGTAATTTAGTGCATGGAATCACGGCACGGATGATGAAACCTTCGGGCGCCACAAGCTCAACGCGAACATTCTCAAGCAGTTGATCGGAAAGTGTGTTGACACAATCAAATTGGAATACCATGTGGTTATTGAAACAGTGCTTAACACATTGAACGGTATACTCGGTTTCATTTTCTGTTAATTGCACCGATGCGGATGATTTGTGTAGCGGTCCCAATCGTTGAATGCCTGGAATTTGTGATAGACGTTCGGCATTGGCTTCCTCGCGGGTGATCTTGGGCGCTTTTGCAATTGAATTGGTGATAATCATAGCGTCGTTTTGAACCTCCTCTTTGACAGGTGCACTAATCGGCACCAAAGACAAATCAAATGTTTCCGTGCACGGTGTTTGCAAGTAATCACGCAATGCCTTCTCAAGCAATGGAATCGATAGTGATGGTTTTTCGGTGATGTATGTTTTGTTGAGTTCCGGTTTTGATTGTTGCAAAATCGTCAAATAGTATGTGGCACGATCGCGAACTTCATCATCCGTATCCATTTGACAGCGTTCCAATAGCACTAGAATATTTTGCAATAGATTCGGACAAGCGGCACCGAATTGTGATAGAGCCGCAACGGCCGCAGCACGAATGGTAGCATTCTCCAAAATTACGCGATTGTAAATGAAACGAATGTATTTCGATGGTGAATTAGAGAATGGTCCTTCTTTGCCCATCAAATGTAAAATGCGCACCGCCAACGACGTGTGCTCACAATCTTCGATAAATTCGCACAAATGTGACAGTCCGGCTTCTTTTGCCTCTGGATTCTCTTCGATGATTGTGATCATGGTGTCAACAATCGATGTTTTATAGTCCAAACCGCCCTCTTCGCGCAGCATTTGACTCAAGAAATTGATCAAAACGGAATGCTTACGTGGAAATTTGGTGCATAGGGCACGAATGGCTTGCACAATTACGACTTTGAATTCGTCAGAAATTTCGGCAACAAATGTGGCAATTTGCTTCATGAGCCGTTCAACGGAACTCTCAGCGCCGGTCTTAAGCAGTGTTGTGATGGCCAAAGTGGCCACTGAACGATTGGTATCGGTGATCAATCCTTCCAAATCCAAATTGCATGTGGTTATTGCAACCGGGTGGACCATCGCCACTTTGTTCATTGTGCGTACGGCAGCAAAACGAAGTGTTGCTTTTGGTGAACTGCAGAACAATTGCAAGATACTGATTGCTGGTGCTAGCTCACGGGCGCTTGTTCGCTTGAGATTTACAATAGCGTGGGCTGCTTCGTAAACAACCATTTCACTCTTTTCACGCAAGCACTTTTCGATGAACTCCATGAGGCCATTTTCCGAATTGCCACCGGCCTCATCGTCATCTTCAATCAATTTGCATGCAATGCGAAGCAACATACAAATTGCGTATGGGCTCTTTAGATTTTGACGCGTCAATTTGTTGACCAATTTCGAAACGGCCAAACGATCCGTTTTACGGATGCGATACAACAGACCGAGTGCATGGTATTGCACCATAATATTGTCACTGTTCAATGCTTCTTGAGCTTCGTTTGCCCATCGCTTAACCACATCTGCTGCCGAATTGGCGAGATGCACCGAACTAACTAAGGCCGCACACGATACCGACTCATTCTTATCGACGATACACTGTTTCATATATCTTTCGACCGCTTGCAACATTGTGTTATCAGTGATACTGCATAGAGCCCGAATGGCCGATGCACGATACAAATATTCCTTGCCTAGAATGTACGGAGAATAAATATGGAGTTAGATCGATGGCATGTGTGAGGAGTTTTCGATTCTGTCAAAATACCTGTCATATCTTTTGTCAACGAACTGGTTACGATAATAACATCATCGGCAATTGTACTAAGCTCCTTGATGCCCAAATAGACCATGCGACGCAAAACCACATCTTTTGATTGGAAGAGTTTGGTCATTGCAAAGAAACAATCGGTAGCTTCACGAGCTGCCAACACCTCACCCTACATTTTTCAGAGGGAAACATTAGTTTTTTCTCTCTATTTTTTCACATAAAATTTCATCACAATTTCTCCAATTTTCATACTTTTATAACGAAAAGGTAAGAAAAAAAAGAATCAAAAACTGAAAAAAAAACTGCCACAAACCTGATTGATCAAATACAAAATTTTGGTTAAGATGTGCGTGCATTTTCTGGCATTGACTGGAGACTCATTGAATGTGCGACACTCTTGCAACACCGATGTTTTATCAATGTTTTGAAATGGATTGCCACCGCCTAGTTTCGAATGAGAAGATTTATATTTAGTCATTTTCACTGAATTTACCGATGTTTTTCGCGACTAAAAAAATGTATTCCCACAAGTACACCGTGTCTGTTGTATTCCAGCATTAAAACTGATTAGACTTTGCCAACAAACACAACTCACCATCTTCTTCTTCCTTCTTATCACGTTTAAACGAACTCATTGTATTAGCTCAGTATATGATGTTATCACTTCTGAATCACCGTCGTTTTGAAGAAAAAAATTTCTTTCAATTTTTTAATGGTTTTTTTTTTATTTTGAAATGAAAAATAATGTAAAAGAATCGAATGCGACGACGGCAAAGTAATCGCTGTGACCGAGAGAAATTGACAGTCGTAATGAAATTTTAACACGTCATCTGAGTGCCGCCACCATCGGACTCACTATTGCAATACAGTCGCGCATACACATAGTCAACGTCAACTGTTTACGTTGCCCCTGAAAACATCATCATTTTGATCATCCATCATCAATTTTATTTCAGATTTTTTTCCTCAAATTTTCAATGATTTTGTTCATTTTTTTTTTGTAATTTTAAAAATATTTTCTACAGAAAATTGAAACATATGAAATTTTTATTGAGAAAAAATAGACCTTTGACATTTCGAATGTTCAAGTTTTAAATGTTGTTGTGCGGTGGAATGCTCGATGGGTATTGTCATATAAAGCAGAGTCACTCGATGTGATTCCACTAGATGGCGTTGGTCGCACTGAGATGCTCTTTTGCTCTGCAGTTCTAATCGGTTCGGAATCAAACGAAATAGCAACATTGTCGTTCAGCTGTAATGAAAAATCATTTATTCATTCTAAACAAACACTGAATTATTCACCGTTTTGAGAGAAGAAATGATCGTTGTTCTTCATTTTCTTTCCCATTCATAAAAATGAAGAAGAAAAGATAATGTTGACAATAGTAGATTGGATAGCACGCTTTTCCCAGTCTTGTTGTCAATTTCCCAAGGCGATTAATGAAGAACCTATGTTTTCATTAATATTTTCCATATTCAAATGAACGCATACACAATGAAGCGAAAGACGACGACGACGACGACGACGATGAATAAGATGGGAAAAAACAGACTCATTCTTCGTCATTTCTTAGAACCCTTCAGAACACATTGCATTATAGTCGCCGCTGTTTGACTTCATCGTTTCCGTACGGCATTTCTACATGTGTGCCACCACAATTCCCTTCTTTTGCGCAATCCACGGTTGCTACTCTTCTTTTTTCTTCCCTTCTGTTCATTTGCTTCGCTCATATTTTCACTGTTGCTGCGGTTGTGTGTCGTCATCACAAAAGCTGAATGAAATTTTTTTCCCTGTGTGACGAACAACATGCACATACACACACAAACATAACACGATGAAATACGAAAACACACGGTGTGAAAATGTCGTCTGCATGTCGTTCGCATGTGTTGAGGCTGAATAAGGATGTGCGGGTGTATGAGTTTTCAATTTCTCCACAACCGTATTGAAAACGTTATATATATACACACAGAGATCAGGCAGGCATGGGCGAACGGGAGAAAATTAGACAAGGCGCGCAACAGCATACACAACGGCTAGAGAGAGATATCGAATGCATTGCGCGCACATCCCAGTGGATGGAAAAGGAGAGGGCGACACACAAAAAAAAGAAATTTTATCTATATACACGCGTACGTACATTTGTGTGAAAATGAAAATGGATGTGGGATTTTCTTTTTCCCTATAAAAGTTGCTACAACATCGTCGCTTTCGATTATTGTGTATCAATAAAATAATTCATGCAGTTGTGTTTTTGTGTAAAACGCGGAGAATACTTTGTGATTTTCATTCAACGACCAAACGAAATCAATGTCTCTAAGTGGAAACAGAAGAAAAATTTAATCATTCAAACAAACGTCAAATGTTAGGCGAAAATTTATTCTTGTTAAATGGTGTTATTTTTATTTGCCTGTTTGGTTAAGCAATAATTTAAGATTACGGTAAAAAAAAAATTGTGTTCAAGCAAAGAAGAAAAAAAGAGCCCATGGAAAGTGCAAACGAATCACAATACGATAATTGTCGCTTGTTTTCTCTTCGAATCAAATATTGCCCAATTTCGTCATCATACACGCTCCCATGCATATCCAACAAAACGAACGAAAAAACAAAATTAAATCAAAATTACTGTACAAACTAACTGAATAAATGAAATTGAATGCCAATGACGTGGATGGCCAATTCCAATCGCTAGAAACGAATGTATAAAATACACATCGAAATACGGCACACAATATTTGCGTGTCGTTGCCTGACACATGGTCGAAAGACATCGTGATTTCCATAGTTGTTTTGATTAAAATTTTAAATAAATAAACATACAAAGTGAAAAAAGAAAAAAATAGTCGGCAGATATATTTTCGTGCAGTGCCTGTGTCTCGAAAATCTCAACTGCCTAGCCAAAGAAAAAGAAGTAGAAGAAGAAGAAGAAGGAGAAGAAAGAAAAAAATCAGCTACCACAAACGAAAACATACTGCGCTCGCAACGCAAAACCCAAACATATTATTTCGAAATAATTGTGTCGATGATAGCGTACAACACGAAAATTTCATGCCAAAGGACACAGAAGTAATGAAATAAAAAAAAACAATAAAATAAATTCCCTGCAGAAAACAACAAAGGCCAACACAAAAAAGTTTAAAGTGAGAGAGAGAGAGAGAAACAAACGGGTTGAACTGATTGAGACGAGTTGTCAGTTATACAAAGAGCAAATGGGAAAGAGCGGTGAATACAAAAAATAGAATAAACGCATGGCGAGTAAGAGCAAACGGATAAGTCACAACAAAGGCTGCAGGCGGGAAAGTACAATTTAATCAGCAAAAAACAATTTTGCGTTCATCGCTCATTCTATTTTTTTGCTGCTGCTCCTGATGCCACTTTGGAATATATGTGTTGTTGAAATTTGTGCTTTGTTATTGTTAAAATCCATTTTTGTTGTTAAATTGATAAAAGCGACAACACCTTCGGGCGCCTTCATTGCATCGGACGGTCGGTAGATCGGTGGCGAAACAGACGTAAATACACACAAATTGTGTGTGGGAAATTAAGCCAAAACGAGTGCGGAAACAAGGAAAATCCAATAAGTTTTATTCGGTCGAACGTTTACTGAACAAATACACACGAAACGGTGTGTAAAGCACACAGACTGGATTGTAGCGAACAGATACGCAACCCACACACACACACACACACACATACTCCGAAATCCATTGAAGTATAATACCCTGAGAGAAGCCGTTTGTGTCATATTTGCTGTTTTGTTTCGATTAACAATATCTCCAACGCATTTTTGGGTTCGAGGCAATTCAGAGATGAAAGTATTTTCGATGCACGTACAATAGTCAGCCGACTGACGCGCGTACAACGCTTTTGGTGTTCTTTGCCATTGTTACTGTTTGCTATTCTGTGTACTGACCTATACACACATATTATTATTTCTTTTGCCCTGAAAACATTGCATGTCATTTAACGTTGATGGAATTTGTTTTAAAATTTCCATCGAAGCTTGTTGCTTGACGCAATATTGGCGGAATCCCGGCTTTTTAACGAACATTCACTCGCAACCGTCTGATTCATTAAAATCCCACTGTTGTGTACAGTTAACAACGCACGTTATCGATATACCAAAAATAACTTTTAACAACTTTTGGCCACAATAAAAACCAATAACATCAATAAACGAAACGTGCGGCTGTGCGTTTTATTTGCTCGCGTACGCACACCCACTGGAAAATATATGCAATTTTGAGTGCTAACCCAAATGAAATTATCGAATAACGCATAATTGCCTGTTAAATGGCTTGTTGACAATGAATTCATAACTATTAGTTCGGTTCGACATACAAACAAATCAACACAGCAAATGCAAAGTGAAAACAACTGTGAAAAAAAAAAATTAAAATAAACTCACTCAACAGCACACAATCATCGGCTATTGAACATTAAACCATTTTTAGAATTTAGAAAATTAAATTAAAGATTAAATATAAATTTATAAAAAGAAAAAGAAAGTGAGTTCAAAATGCCAGAACAAAGCAACGATTACAGGGTTGTGGTCTTCGGAGCAGGTAATCTACTTATAACCAATATCATTTTATTATTCATCTCTCGCTCTCTTAAATTTGATTTTCCATTGATATATACTGGGTATATTGTCAAACGAAGTCAGTCAGAAGGGAAAAGTTATAAATACCAGTAATTTATGTGGAAATCGATGAAAAGCTGAGGTTTAAAAATTACCCAACCGTTCTTTTGGGTCTCGACTTTTTTTCATATGGCGCAATCATTTATTTTACTTCAACGCGTGTGGCTCATACGATATTTATATACCATATTCGGAGCTTTTTCCAGAAAAAACCGTATTTTTCTGGTGATATTCAGCATTGAAATACGGATCACCACCACCACCATCCTCCCCACACCAACACACTCACATTGTCAAGCCAAATGATTCAACAAAAAGAAATTGGGTACTAAATACAACGTTATAAAAAGCTTATTACATTATAATTTTGTTTCTATGCTGTATGAAATGTGCGGCGGTCTGTGCTTATTCCTTAAACGATTTCGCTCTATTTTGTGCAAATTTAATGACAGGTATATTGCTTATGTACGTTTCTCCATTACATTATTCATAGAACAATAAATATTTTAATATACACAATATTCGTGTCCACAGCGCAATCACAATATGTGCGTTCGGCAGTCGATTTCGACGATTATTATGCGCGCAAATTGTAATGATTAATCGAAACAACAGTATATGTGGTATCGTGGACCGTGAAACATAAAAGCATTGCTGCAAAAACGTCACAATACCCATTACACCAATCGCAAGCGAATAATGTACAGAAAAAGACTTTCAAAACTTATTTTTAGACACTCCGGACTAGTCTTTTATTTGCAATATTCATACGTCACACACTCGCTTTCGTGATTGACATGATTTGTTATGTGTGCGAGTATGCGAGCGTGTTTATATGCAAGGGGGAGGAATGTGTTGACATTGTGTAGTCGTCGCATTTTCCCGAAGAAAGCGAGGGAAAAAGAAATGAGCTTTTTGAATCGAAATCTTGATTGTGGGCAAAGTTTTCACGGCCGCTATTTTTCGCTATGTTCGGCATTGCCACACACACATGCCAAATTGCCGATAAAATCATCATCATATCATTCAACACGAGGGAACTATTAGATTGATTATTTTTTTAATTTTATTCGAAAAGAAAAAAAAACCTGAAATACATTGATGCCCTTCTTTGCGCTTTAATTTTTTTTTCACTCTCGTCTCTTTTCAATTCGATTGATCGTTGTCATCGTCGGCGGTGGTCGCGTGATGAATTGGACAGGTGGAGTTGGTAAGAGTTCGCTGGTGCTGCGATTCATAAAAGGAACATTCCGAGAGAGCTATATACCAACGATTGAAGACACATACCGTCAGGTAAGATTTTTATCGCATGTCCCTACTTTGTTTTCCCTTCTTTTTCCTCCATCGATGTGCCGTGGTTTCCTTTCTCACTCTGTAAATGCGTGTCTATATCACGATTGTGCAAAGTTTTCGCAGCACAAAAAACTTTTATCCTAGACTCCTGGCATCGTATTTTAAAGTTTTCGTTATAGCCATCGGTTGAAAGCGCACAGTCATCAACGTGTACCGTAGAAAATAGTCAACGAGAACGAGAGAGAAGGAAGGGGGAAGAGGGAGACAAAAAAAACTTCTGAGTTAGGTTCATTGAGTCCGTAGATGGGTATCGGCTGGCATGCCAAATTAAAAAATAATAAACAGAAATACCGAGCCGAGAGCAGCAAAGATTCCATGTGAAAAGACGTAGGTGAACCACAATATGATCCGCAAGCGGTGGGCCTTCATGAAAAATGAATCAAGCCGAAGCAAAAGTGGTTGCAGCCGTTGCTATATTTGATTTAGTCGAGATCGAGTTAAAACAGAAAAAGAATGTGAATCAGGCGCAAGTGAAGAAAATAAATGGGGGGGGGAAGTAATAGTTCGATTGGAGCGGATGAAGGGACGTGGAGCATTGAAAGTCGCCAGACACATCAGCGAGGGGGATTGATGTTTATGCAAGAGCGTTCTGTTTGTTCGTTTTTTTTACACATGCGATTCACACGCAAAAGCACAGCAATGCATGCGACTTATATTTTCAAAGATGTTTTATAAATAGCAACTGTCGCTCGTTTGCCCTCACTCGCTACCTCTTTCACTTGCGCTCCACCGTTTTCGCTCTCTCTCTCTCTCCGCATTGCACGAGTATTAAAAATAAATTTGACATTGAAGCAGTCGAGAACAGCGCTGTCGTTAACCATATTACGCTTGTTTCGCCCTCTTTCTCTCTCTCTTTTCCGTCACATTGATACAGCGTGGGGGTGGATGCAAGAACATTTTGTTGAACATCAATATAACTCCTTGTCGATAGGATTGAAGGGTTACAAATGTGGTATTTTTAAGATGAAAATGTCTGTTATTTATATAAATTTATGGCATTTTAAATGCGACAACAACAAAACATAAACGACAATGTATTTTGATGTGTTTTTGATCGATTCCATGAATATTGGCCACACGATTGTGTTTTACTCTCTGCACAAAAAAGTAGCACAAGAAAAAGAAACAGTAAAGCATGAGAAAAAAAAGAGATTTGTTATCGTAAAGAGGGGACGTTTTTTTTATATTCACTTGTTCGCATGAACTATAAATCCAATGAGAAAAAAAACATTAACCCAAAGATTCAGTTTGCATAAATCCAGTACCCGAGCGGATGATTGTGAATCAGGTTATCCGACCGGTCGGTATGTATCTCCTAGCAACAACACATGTGGACCAACAATGTTAAGTGCATAGGCCAAACTGGGTTCCTTCACATGGAATCTTTGCTTCTCTCGACTCGGCATTTCTGTTTATTATTTTTTAATTTGGCATGCCAGCCGATACCCATCTACGGACTCAATGAACCTAACTCAGTCCCAGTTCTATCTATTTTGAACTGATGCAAAAATACGAGTGCTACGATGAATGAAGTGATTGAGCCCACATTCTCTCTCGGTTTAGTCGCATAAAATATAAATGTTACAACGTTTTTCGATGTAGTATACAGGGTGATTCATAATTCCATGCTAATCTCTCTACGACAGATTCCTTGGCTCATGAGGAGTAAAAATGTGTATGGAAACTTTTCCGAATTCGGCCTCTATACCAAAGATTTGGCCGCCGGCGCATTTTTGGCCGCGCCCCCGTGCCTCTACGCCAAAAGCCATTGTGAGCCCATTTTTGGACATAAATGCATGATTTTTGGCTCATTGGAAAGATATAGAGGCCCACTAGATCCTCCAATCCAAAAACGGTGAAAATGTTTGACTAAGGGGTTAAAATTAACCCATACCGGAAAGTATGGAAAAATGGTAAAAATAGTGAATTATTTCAAAATAATGCGTTATTAAGGTATCGCTTTTTCATCATAGATTGAAAGATCGTAAAATTTTGGGCCGGTATGCCCATTTTTAGAAACCGATTTGTTTGATCAGAGTTGTAGAGGGCGATAAAAGCAACAAGTATGGCTGATGTGTTGAATCGGAAAATACCGTTACTTTAGTAAAAATTACTAAATTAGAAATTTTGATTTCGGGCGCCATCTACAGGTGAAATTCATAAAGTAAACATATCAAAGTTGTTGCTTTCGACGCCCTCTACAATTTTTTTGCCGATAGTAAACCGATATCTTCCATATTTTCTGAGTTATGCCCCGGTATTTGGGGACCTTCGAAAAATGGGTACTAATGACACCTTTAGGTCGCAGTTTTCTTGGGTTAACGGCAAAATCGGTTTCTGAAAATGGGCATACCGGCCCAAAATTTTACGATCTTTCAATCTATGATGAAAAAACGATACCTTAATAACGCATTATTTTGAAATAATTCACTATTTTCACCATTTTTCCATGCTTTCCGGTATGGGTTAATTTTAAACCCTTAGTCAAATATTTTCACCGTTTTTGGATTGGGGGATCTATTGGGCCTCAATATATTTCCAATGAGCCAAAAATCATGCATTTATGTCCAAAAATGGGCTCACAATGGCTTTTGGCGTAGAAGCACGGGGGCGCGGCCAAAAATGCGCCGGCGGCCAAATCTTTGGTATAGAGGCCGAATTCGAAAAAGTTTCCATACACATTTTTACTCTTCATGAGGCAAGGAATCTGTCGTAGAGAGATTAGCATGGAATTATGAATCACCCTGTATATACTGATCCTTTCACCCCCAACTTCGCCGCCGCCGCTGCCGCCACCATTTACTACCACGCTGTTATTTTTGCCGCTGCTACTGTTGCTACTACTACTTCTACTGTTGATGTTCACTTTTCTACACCACTCGTAGGTTGATTACAATTTACGCATCTTCAACCTACACTTACCGTTAATTTCAAAACATAAATCATTCGGAAAGCTTTCACACGAAGTTTTCGATGCGATGCCATAAATTCAAATTTTCATCTGAATACACGTACGCCATACAACAATAACACATGGTCCTTTTCTGTGTTATTTAAGGATCACATTCGCGCGCCGACTCTAATGTTTTACCCATAATGAACATGCCCGTCTATAACTCAGTCGTTAATAACCGACATTTTTGGGGCGAGAGTGAGTGAGAGAGTGGGGAGAAAACTAAAATAAGAACGATTTTTTATCCAAACAACAGCAAAAAAAAGTCACACTTATACATCGACAGGCATAGACATGCACCTGAAACTGAAGAGGGGAAGAGGTTCCTCGTTCCTGAAACATTAAGTCTATGGATGGCATCCCATCATTGCCAGCATGAACGTAAAACAAAATTAATTATTTAATATCATCTTAATTGCTTTATTTTTGTCGATGGAACGCAGCACGATGGATGTCGCACAAAGACGCCATTCGCGATATGCCACGATACGAAGCGACAATTGCCAATATACACAATATATATTTGAATCACACTCTATCTGCGAAAAAGAAAAATGAAAAAAAGCAAGCACTCGCACACAACGAACGATGAACACTTCCCGTCCGTACACAGCAGAGCGTAAAATGAGAAAAAATTGAGAACTGCCCAAAAAAAAATTTGAAGAAAAATATTTTTATCGTGAACTATGATTGCACGTATCAAATATCAGATGAAAAATCTTTGAACGACGTTAAAATGGAGTAACGAGGCCATCAGTACGGTTATTTCCCGATTCATTCGATTTATTTCCGAACAATAATGCAACGGAAGGTTGACTTTTGTCATTTGTACGTAAAGCAAGCAAAAAATACACGCAGCACGATATTTTTTATTTAAATCGTTAAGAATTGAAAATGATTATGATTTGGGTTCTTAAACCAAATTTTGGACCATTTCAAAACCAAATTTTGGATTGCCCAAAATGGGCAAAAATACCGCTTATTTTACTCCTTGGTTCACAGTATAAAAAGCAAGTGAACTTTTATTTGGGCACTTCCTGTTATTTGGTGCGTTCAGTCGAGCAACTAAGCTGGCAACAAAGTTGACAGCTCCGGTGTATGTACATTGTACATTGAACATAGCCAATGGTGTTCGAACACAAAAGCAGCAGTTCATTAATTGAATTACTGAACTGAATGAAACGAAATTATAACACGCATTCGGGATCCGAAGCGAGAGCGCATCGATGGATTTTCTACTAGTTTGACTTAATTCGATGACACCAGCAAACGAGCGATGTTGACAGGCTGAGACGAAAAGTACATAGTTTTATTCGGTACGAAAATCCCTTCTCAAAATTTGCGGAAATTCATCGTATTTAACGACTATTCCTGAATGCGATTTTGTTAATGAGAGAGTGACTAAGATTTGTTTTTTAATTCATGTCATTGTATGGCCATTGTTGGTGTGCATTCTTTTGTTCAGCTCTGGCCTTCGACGAACTCACCGAAAAGTACCGCTTGAAGTGCTTGAAACACAAAGCTTTCTCGCTCTCTTTCTACACAATCTGAACGTTTTTTTTCCTCTGAGTGTGCTTTCATCTAGTGTATGGTATGTGCGCTTTTCTCACTTCCGTCAACTTGTATGTCGTTGAGCTACACTCCCACACACTGGATTATTGTAATATATACACACGACGAATTAATTAAAATAAGATTTCAACGAGCTGATTTCTGAAACAATAATCCCTCATTAAGAACCGAATTCAACAGATTGTTGTTTGGCTTTCGTCTCGAATTTGCGGACGCACACCGAATTACGGTGATGCGAATGAAATAACAGTCATTCTCGTACACTCTCGATCCTTGCTCCATCACTCATACACGCTCGTTTGCACGCGACTGCTCGTTTCACTTTCAACCAACAATTTTCGTCCCACGTTTAACCACTCTCCAGGGTGTGTTGGGCTTAAGTAGACAGTTGAAATATTAGTAGGTGTCTTGAATA